AAATCTTCGACATCAAAAGAGGGTTGCTGTGCATTCATACCGACCACCTTGTTTTCGCATTGTATCATTTACTTTCTAGCAGCATATTCTTTCAACTTATGTAGAATTTGGACGATAAAACATCAAAAATTGTCATAATATTCAAACATGAACGATAAAACGGGTTCTCCTGTTTGTCCACCGCCACATGTTTCCCAGAAGAAGAATTTCTAATCGTGCCGACTGTACTCGTGATTTATGCCGCGACAGCCGGTGACATGCTTTCGAACTGTGTATTTGTCGTGCAAGCCTTTCCAAACTCGGCTTCGCAGGTTTGTCCCTTCGTTATCGATTGCATACGACGATTACCAAATGTGGCGGTGTATCGATCTTCGGGAGCGAATTAGATTCCTGCACATCCTCGTATATCGCCAGGAGTAATACACTGTAACACGGTTTTACTGGCATGCAAGTAGGTAAACCTACATACAGCATGATTTTATAGTTTGAGAGTAACCTAACCAGAGTTGACTTGAACTTAATGTAGTTTAATACAATTTGGCAGACATGAATGAAACTTAACCTAACAATTCATACATGATGTTATGCTAACCTTACCTGACAACATTTAATCTGACTTGATAGATTTGAGTGATGACACTAACCTAACAACTGTACCTACCTTTTCTAGCCTGATATAATTTCATCTAACTTAATATTAATAATTTGAAAACTCGAAATGGATTTAATTTACAATAAACTAACAGTGAACTGTGACAGTGGAAATAACAGTGAACTAATAATAAAACTTAACATTAATATAACCTACAGCCTAACCTAGTATAATATAACCTAATCAGGTAACAAAATCTAATGTATCATATAAGTCAGCATAATACGTGGAATCTGAAAGAGCGATAATGACCATTGGTCATTCACATCCACTTGTTTAAATACCCGATGCACGTATCATGTTTTCCTCCCTCGAATCCCGCATATGTGTTTAACTAAGTAAATCAAATTTATTCATCGGTAAACAAGAAGGGGGTCGTTGGAAGTCACTCAACATTGTCATCGGTTCCCCTAGCTATATCGACCGGGTATTTGGGGAATCGAGTTGTTCTCTTTTTGTGGTTAGTTTAATCGTCCCACAGCCCCGCTGGCGACGCTTTGCCAACACACGTGCGGCACGTTTACGATCCCCTTTGTGCGAACACGTTTAAAAACAGCCGGTTTGGAGCGACTGGTGGTCAGGAGTGGCAACTTTCTGCGGGGGTCGTTTCTGGCCATTCGTTTGCGTAAACATAGTCTCCAGATGATGACAATGGCACGGCTGCAGGCGGCACGTGCTGCCCGGCTACCGAAATGACTTCTTTTCTCTTCGTAAACGAATTCGAACATGTGACTGTCTCGAGGAAGAGATGACAATTAAAATACTTGTCGAGAATACCATATTCATCGTGGGAAGTCCGGCTACAAGCGGCGTTAAATTAGAAAGGAAGATCGGTATCTGCGCTCGGTTTTCTTCTGTTAGAAAAACGACCCCTTTCCGGGTTTTACCAGGAAGGTACATGGACCAGTTTCAAGTATCGCGGACGGCTCGACGAACAAATCGGAGAAAGCGAAGCTGCCTGACTAAATTTATCTAACTTCTCCCACGGTAACAGACGTGCTCGCATGTTTTCCTCGGACAAGGGGGTGCAAATTCGAACTCACAGATTTTCAAACGCGTAACTTTCTAAATTCGCAACTTCAATTTCTAAATCTCTGAATGTTCAAACGCATAAATTGCAAGAGGGAGGCAACGAGGCACTTGTTCTCGATACAAAGACGATACCGAAAGAGATAAAAGGACCGTTGCTCGGGCGGGATTTTTAAAAAGACGAGCCGTAACTTTTACTTAACGCGTCGAAACCGAGTGTGCAAAGTCGCCGGTCTCGCAGATACACCAGCCGTAATGGACTAAAGTTTAGCCTCGTAACAGAAAACGTGGAATCGCGGTTTAAAGACGTCCAGGCGTTCTCCAGCTATATAAAATAAACCGACAGCGAGAGCCGACAGTGTCGGAGGAAAAAGGACCGATGAGGACTGGTCCAAAGGCGGGGAAAGGCGACGGCGGAAGCGTGGGAACCGAGCGTAACAGATGGCCTCGGTTGCTTCCGAACCCGTTCGGCCTCCTTCGTGCACCTCCGTACTGCTATCGGCTCCGCTTTCTGTTCTCGCGCGATCCACCGACTATGTGTCGATGCAACTTGATTCTCTTGCGAAAAATAGATTCGTTGATCATTCGCACCTCGCTCTTTCGTCACCTCGCCCGATTATATTCAATTTTCAAACAAATAATTAACAATAATATGCAAAATATTTATTATTGCGATTTCAGCGTTCTATGTGGGAGTCTCAAAATTTCGGAGTCCTCAAATTTGAGTCCCAAAAAATTCTAAATTCCTTTCAGAGTTTTAAAGTATCAGTGTCTTCATACTCCCATGCGTAGAATTCCATAGTTCTCAAATTCTCAAAGTCCTAAATTTCTAATGTCTGAAAATTCTAACGTTACAAAATTCCAATATCCGAAAGTCTGAGGATTCTGAAAAGTCCCAAAATTCCAAAATGCCACAGTTGAAAGATTCCACAAGTCTTAAAATTCCGGAGTTCCTTATTTCGTTCCATAGAGTCCCTTAAGATTGTCCATATTAATAATAAAATTTATTACGACCCTCGGTATTGGACGTAGATTCTAAGCGGAACAAAGAATTTAATTATTGTTGCCGAGACTAATGCATTTACCGTTACGAAAGGGCTAGAAGAAATAAGGTCGTATAATTGATTTACGTGGTACGCCACTCGATTAAGAGCAAAGAATAGGTTAAGAGGGTAACGATTGGAAACAAAAAGTTCGATAGGAAATCCAGCAAGCTTAGTACATGTTGCGCACCGGTAAGGTCTCAGGAAATGTTCAGATATATTCAAGTTGCTTTAAATGCATTCGTGGAAGCGTGTTAGTAGTCGACAGTGCCAGTTATTCAAACATTTCATGGTTAAAGATACAGCCTTTTAGAATCATTGTCGAAGTAAAAGGATTTGTTAACAAAAGATAAACTTGACCAGAATGTTACGATTATAGAATGATAGTTTGATGAGATACTGTCAAATGATGACGATACAGGAAATTATCGCAGGAAGTGTCATGGCCTCTCGCTGATGCGTAATCTTCAGGAAATAGCACGCATACTTGCGGAGACCGTTCTGTTACCTCGGTTTCTCTTATCTTCGCATACTGATATTTTATTGCGTATACTGTTGACAGAGATCAACAGTCCTCTAACGGTATAAGAATGTGTCACTACTTTTAGTTTTTATCGCGTTCGAATTGCCGCGCATATAGATCGATCGCGTGTTGAGTTCTGCGCACCCGTATTGCGCACCACGTGACCGTACGCGGCATAAAAATTCTCTTTAAATCCGTATAAACAATAAACTTTCTTCTCGTTTACATATGTGTCATTATCAGTTATAAATTCTTTTCTTAATCGTTTAAATGATTCGTAAACATTTTTGTATATTTGTTTCCAAGTAATCGGGTTTCCAAATTAGAATGATTAACAACATCGTTTCTCACATTTGAGGGGTTAAAAAGAAGGGGACTGTCACCAAATTAGCTCCGAAAGAATTTAAGAGGCTGCGTCGCAGTCAGCTCTTATTAAGCTATGTTTGTAGTCACTTGTGACCCACGTGTTCAGGAATGCGAGATAACGTGGATGCTTGCGAGTCGTGGTAATTACGGCGTGTTAATTTAAAAGCAGGCTCCTCTCCTCTTCCCATAGCGACCACCGCCTTCATCTTGGCCGGAAGTTCTGCGGTGTTTGTTGTTCCTTCAAGCATTGTTCCCCCGCACATTCCATCGTAATGAACATCTTGTTCTGCTCGCCTTCAGAAATAGGCGTACGAGACAGCAATCTCGATAGAAATTACGTTTAACAGGGCTCGGTGAACGCGCTAGCTCTTATATGCAAGTGCACATTCATTACCGGGTACTTTTGGAAGAACTCTGTATTGTTAGAGTTCCGTAAGGTTCCTTGGCTCTTTAATTGGAAACGGGTGCAACTTTTTATAATTAACGTAGCTGCAAACTTGTTGAGATGTTTTATTTATAGGTTGACAACTAAATTTGCAATCTCACATCTGTCGTGGGTAAATTGAGATGCTCAAGTCTGAGTTTTTTTTCATAAAATGTAATATTCTTCGAGATTCAGATGAATTTTGGATATTTGTGAATTCCTTCAGTACGATAAGATAGAAAAGAAGGCGTACGCGAGATAAAAGGCTATCGGTCTTCTCTCAGTTGAAGTTTTCTTATAAATACATCCGATGAATAAACAAATAATATTAGTAAACCCAATTTCGATGATTGTCAACTTGCAAATATTAGATGATTCCCGAAATTGCGAGTCATCACTTATGAACATTTCATACCTGAACACAAATATGATCGAACACACGTTAATCGACAACAGAATTCCGGAATCGTGTAATTCATTCAGTTATTCAATTCCTTTATTGTGTTCTGATGTATATTGTTTTCACGCTGATGCTTTTTTGATGATATCGTGGAAGTGAATTAATGTTTCTTTCCTAGAAAGAGATTGTTTCTGGTCGGTTTTCGAGGGGAAAAAACAACGTACCGACTTGAAATTAAAATGCTCTCATTGAAATTCTAGTTGGACGTTCACGGGTCGTGAACTTTGTAACCCTTTAATCCCACGTTACAGCTGTAACGTGTGTTCGAGAACCGAGAAAACAAAGAATCGTAGATCATTTTCTTCGCTGTGAATTCAACTTTTCCCTTTTTGTTAACGGTAACTTTCTTCTTCTTAACAGATCAGATTCAGTGAATCTTGTCTAAATTTATGTTTATCCAATTTAATACAATGTTCAACATTTTGGTTGCATAACAGGGTCAAATGTAACATTGACAAAATTAAATTTGTCATTATTTTTGTTCAGCAATAAGTATTGTATCTACTATTCAAACGTATACGCACGCTTTAATAACTACAGTAAATTATACCATACATTAAAATGTCAATAGGTCAATTTTTCCTCCATGTGTTTCTAAGCTATGATAATTAAAAAAGCCTGAATCATATTAGCAACACAGCGATACGTTTTATCTCGCGTTGCATAATTAAGGCTTAATCCGACTAAATATGCCAAACATATCGCACTTAGAAATGTATGTTAGATCTGAACCGTGGCATCAGAAATAAACTGGTTCATCCTCTTTTTATTAACTCATTCAAATCAAATTAATTTCTCTTCCCCGTTATGTATGGCATTATCATTCTTCGTAGTGTGCCTCCCAAGTAAATTAAAATATCTTGATATCAATGGTTGGAACAACATTTCGTGAAATTTGAAATTTCGAGCACGCTCGAAACGGATCATCGAGCGCAGCGTTCCGAGAATACGATATGATAATCCTTGGTCATCGAGTTGTCAAGGTCGTGCTTTCGAATGACGAAAAAAGAGGAGATCCGCCCGTTGGATTCGAATGCGTAACCGTCATATCTGTGCATCGCTAATATCGGTTGAAGATTTTTCGAATACCGGACACTACTCCCGTCAAACTGCTTTCCGTTTCATTAAAATACTCCCGGTCCTTCCAGATTTCCAAACTGCACGAGGCATTGGTGTCATGATTCAATTTGCAAATTGAAAAACCGTGTATTATGTAATCTGCAAAGAGTTGTAAATGTGTTAAACTTCATAAAAGAATTTATATTTGACTATATGCAGCCTACACAAATTACTCCTACATGATTTTAATAAACCAGTATCCTCTTTAAATTCTTACTTGAACCAATATCGTCAATTTTTTAGAATGTAGTTTTCCAAACTGTTTCCTGACACCGTCAGAATAGTGTCGTTTTCTCCGCGACATTTCCGCGTATATCTGAGCTAGGAATTTCTTGCGAGTACACAACGATCGTCATCCTCATCCTCGAGAATAAGTGGAACGTACGCGAAGATCGTGTCCGTTATTTCGCCGTGACGTCAGGACGACTTGTAACCGCTGTGTTAACAGCAGCAGACGAGCATGAGGCTCTATCCATGATGTCAGCCCGATGTCGGTATTCTAATTCGTTTGGTGAAGGCATCATGGAGCTTCCTGGAAAAAAGGGTCAGGGAGAACCGCGAGCCAAAGGGTCATTTGCATTCAAGCACATTCGTCGCAGCTGCATTAGTCACAAGCAATTTGCTTGGCTGGCACTCCGCAGAAACGTACATTTCAAGAACAATCGGTAACGCAAATAACAAGAATTATCTTGTTGTCATAAGATAATGAGTTGTAATGAATTACAAATATGACGATCATCGGATCGAAACTATGCGACGTATTTGGAGAGTTAGTCAATAGGAAGTCGAAGTTCAGCGTACGGTATTCCCATTCAGACGTCTCGTCTTCGTTTTACCTTGAATATCTAGGTGTATTTGAATAGACACGTAAAAGAAGCAAGATCCAGACTCGATCCAGTGCAAGTGTATTTTTATTCCCGGTATCACGACGGTGTTCTTATTTCTTCGTCATGATCGTCCTTTTTTTGCAATCTCGAAACTGAAGAGGTAGGTCTGTCTCTTCCATTCCTGGCGGTGTTTATATCTCGCTGTCGGTGGCTGGTTGCGTTAGGTTCCTCGACCTTGCCGGTCGTGCAGGTTTCAACTCGCAGGCACCTTCAGACGTTCTTCTGCATACCGGGTGTGCCTCCATGAAATTCATCAAGATGTAGGACACTGAAGGAATTGATGCACATTTAGATTCTTGTGGGAGAGACAAAGTGTTCAATTTTTATCCAAAAATGAACTTGCGTGTTATACCAACAGTTACGTTTATACATCTCAAGATTATATTCCCAGATCTCTGTACTTCTGGTCTTCACTATATTTTTAAGTACATAGATGTACTTCCACAAGTTGTTACAATTGTTGATACAATTCTGTCGAACATATCCAGTGTCCAAATACCTATTTGTCCAGATTTTTACATCTCCAAATTTCTATATGTATTGTTCAATCCTTGTATCAAATATACCTCTACATCTTTATATACTCAAATCTCTATATCAACATTTGTAAGTCCTCACATGTACAAATTCCTACATGTTCAAATATCTGTATTCTTACATTTCTATGTGTCTAAACATCCATTTACCCAAATCACATCTTCAAATCTCTACATCATATATCCTTAACATCTCTGTATCTCTAAATATCTAACGTCGCTGTATCTCTAATCGCCCAGCAAAATTCTGAGGACGTTCCAACGTAGATGTGACGTGGAAATGCGAGAAAGGGAGTGTTAATGGAAGCAATAATTATTTCGAATGCGCCGCGCGTAACGTGTTAAATTTATTCTAGTTTTCGCCTCCCGCATGGTTTCTCGGTACGGGGCGCCTAGCCTCCTGCATCATCAGGGTTATTATTGAATCTCGCTATTTCCGAAAACCGTCACGACCCGTCGTTCAACATGGTGAACGTTCTTCCTGGAAACAGCAACGCGACATGAAAATTCTATAAAGGATTGGAATGTTGTCCCCGACGCACACATGTCCACGACGCCTCCGAAGAAAGTTTTCCACTAATAGATTTTGATTTATCGGTGCTCCTGTCGTTTCTTTCTTCCTCTTTGTTTTATCGTCGTTTTATTACTCGAACTAGTTGTTTGCTTCTTTATTGCGTCCTGTCGATGTTGTTAATCTTTTGCTGTTTATAGCTGAATATTCAAACTGAAACGATATTAACGGTTATCTAAATTTAATCGATGAAATTCTTGTTTAACGCTAAAACAATGAAAGCGTTTATCGATAGAATCTCCCGTCTGGGACGAGAAATCGCTAACAAAAGACATGATAATTAAGGATGAAGTAACTTGTATTGTTTCGAACATATTCTGAATTTCCAATGCGTTTTCATGGCGTGCGTTTCCGGAGAAAGTTCAGGCTGTTTGAACCAGACCTAATGAACTTTATCGGACAATTTATTGGTTTCCATAAAAAAAGAAGCGATCGAACATTTGAATAGAAACGTTCATTACTGTGGATCCTTGACTTTATTAGTGGAACTGGAGTTATCAGGAATAAAATGTTTGTTCAGTCTACACACGCGAGAGAATCTTTTAGTGCTAATTTCTTGCTCGAAATGAGTTGCGTATTTCACGCCTGCTCTTCAAATTATGACGAAACAGGCTTTAACTTTTATGGCATAACGGGGCCGCTCTTCTAGTGCAATTCAAATGGAACAATCGAAAGAAGTAACCTTTCTCAGACTGTAATTTTTGGTGTTTGTTTATAACCTCGATTAGTTAAGCTGTGAATCTGATTCATCGATAGCAGCCATTTTGTTGCATTTTATAGTAATTGCTAACACGATCGAGATTAGATATCGTAGAACGTAAGATTTATGTTTATGACCTCATCAAGGAATTACTTGGCTAAGATCGATGCTTGGTGTTTCAGAATTTCCAGGACTTGGAAGCAGAGAAGGCAATAATGGGGTCGATTGTGTACTGCATTCATCACAAGGATGGGTGCAAGTGGTCGGATGAACTTCGGAAATTGAAGGTAATTTCTTGTGAAATCAGTAAAAATTAAGATTTTCAATCAGAGCTTTCAAGACCTTTGCAATAGTATTTGAGGCACTTTTCTTTGAAATTTTATCATTGAAAAATTAACTTCAGCAATCAACCTTGAATTTCTTTTAAAAAAAAATGTATTATATAAATAACTTTAACAGTTTGATAAATTGTATAGCATTTACAAATGACTATTCTTAAAGAGTTAAATAGGAGACGTTGAGAATATTCCAAGGTCAACCTCATTTGGTTAAATAGATTTCTTTAATTACACACTTTCGAAATCGTTTCATTAAGTGTTTGCGATCTTGAATGACCTTGCGTGATAGGTCGTTGAACTGCTCTTGGCACATTAACTCCCACACACTCGGCTAGGTTGAGTTGGTCTTCCGGTCAATTGTGAGAACAATTATCGACGCGGATCTTTGTTAGTAATATATTAAACTCTAAACAGTATGAATTATGCATAAGAGTGACCTACGTAACCTACACTACTCTGTACTATAAACTAATTAAAATTAAGGTTTTCAAAATGACAAATTGTTCACTCAAAACATTTGTTAATAAAGCAGAGAAAATTGCAAAATTTCTATAATCAAAAAACAATAATATTTATATTTGCTACAATAGAAAAATATTGATTACTTTCTGTCTCTTAAATTTTAAAGTTTCAAAAAATTCCAGAGCAAAAGTGTTAAATGAAAATATCTAAAAATTATTCATAGAATACTGTTTTACAAAATTTAAGGAGATCAACAATGTTAAGAATTAATAATGCTGATTCTCGTAGATAGTTCATTTTCCCATGTTTCCACAATTGTTACGGCGAGCGTATAATCGAAGGAGCAACGATGAGAAGGAATGCGTGCTGGGTGCGTCATTGTAAAAATCGCATTATCCTGTTTAGGCTCACCTGAATACCTGCAAGCACGATGCGGTTCCCTGCAGCAACAAATGCGGCGCAATGATCCCTCGTGTACTCATGGAGGACCATTTGAAGTACACTTGTGCTCAACGACGAGCTCGCTGCGACTTCTGTGCCAAAGAATTCACCGGTCACACACTCGAGGTAACCGCTGTTGCATTTAATTAGAGAATCGCGATCGAGTGCCAGCCGTTAACTCGCTGCGAATAAAAAGAAGGGAAAACATGAGTTAAACTACGTTCTTAGAATTCATTTTTTCTTCAATACACATTGCTAACAAGTAACTAAGTTATCACATCTAAAAATTTTATTGTGACTACACATCTTTTAAGTACACTTCATTACACGTGTACTTCTTTACACTTCGTAATGTCTTTACGAGAATATGATTTCAATAGTTAACCAGATGTTCAAAGAAGTCTTAAGATTCTATAATCAAAGTGTGAATCTCACCTTTCAAAAAGCTGTAGATTATCGTTTGTTTTTCTTCCAGAAACACACAGGAACATGCGGCTACGAGCCACTGTACTGCGAGAACAAATGCGGCATGAAGGTGCAGAGAAGGCATCTCAGTCAACACAAGCTGGGCGAATGTGCGAAAAGACTGGTAGCCTGTCGTTATTGCAACAAAGAGTTTGTGTTTGACACGTTGGGTGCTCATCACGCGAAGTGTGGCCGTTTTCCAGTGGCTTGTCCTCATCGTTGTGAAACTGCCGTTTTACCGAGGGAGGATCTGGAAGTCCACTTGAAAGACCACTGCACCACGCATCTTTTGTCCTGTACCTTTAAGGACGCTGGTTGTCGTTTCAAGGTATACTGCTTGTCCAATTTTCTTATTGTTATCTCCTCTTCCAGTTTGATCGGTATAAAATGTTACTTTTGTTGACACAGGGAAATAGATTCTCGTTGGACAAACATCTGGAAGAGTCGGCGAAAATGCACCTGAGCCTGATGTGCAGCGTGGTGACCAAACAGCAGCACCAGATAACCAGTCTGAAATCGGCAATTAGCAAGTTGTCGTTAAATTACACAGGCACGCTTATATGGAAGATCACTGATTACAGTGCGAAAATGTCCGAGGCGAAGGCCAAGGAAGGAATGGAACTTGTCAGTCCTCCATTTTATACTAGTCAATATGGTTATAAGCTACAGGTAAAGAAACGACAATGTCTTACAATTCTATGTTGTATTGTCACCTATCCTATCTATCTTTAAAGAACTGATCAGTATTGTACAGATTTTCTTATAAAGGGTAATCATTACAGGCATCAGTTTTCTTAAATGGAAATGGAACCGGCGAAGGAAGTCACATCTCCATTTACATCAAGATTCTTCCCGGGGAGTATGATGCTCTGTTGCGATGGCCATTCTCTCACAGTGTGTCTTTCACCATATTTGACCAGACGGTGGTGGCGGAGAAAGCTTGCAATATCGTGGAAAGCTTCATACCTGATCCAACATGGAAGAACTTCCAAAGGCCCAGTCGTGAACCCGATTCTCTTGGTTTTGGTTTTCCTCGATTCGTTTCTCATGAAATGGTGAAGAAGCGACACTTCGTCAAAGACAATACGATGTTTATACGAGTAAAGGTTGATCCTAGTAAAATCGTGGCTGTTTAGTAAGGTTGATAAGCATTATTCTCCGGCGATGTATCATACTAACTCAATTTGCTACCGTTCCACATAATATGCTAAATGTTGTCGCGATGCAGACGTAAACGTTTCGATATGGTTTATACGCATTTCTTATTTTACATGTAATGTTAATCTAGTAAACGATTAACGATGTTTCGTATTTATTAACATCGGTCGTGTGTACGTGGTGTGATAGCGCGGAGTACTTTATATACGGGGCACAATATGGTACTTACGTCGTTGTATAGTGTTGCGAAATTGAGTTAACATATACAAGATTCTTACAGATACAATTATAGGAGACAATAGTAATTCCCCAAAACACAAACAATGTGATTACTGCAATTAGGATTTTTTTTATCTGTTTACTCATCAATGAAGTCACTCGAAGGAATTTTTCAAAAATATTATCACACAAAAGAAACTATTCAGGTTTAGTCTCGAAGTCTTAAAAAGCATTGATGATATCAAACTTGTATTTATTTTTGGTTCCAAACAGTTCTCATCACATTGTAATGTAGGTTTCTGTTTTCTGCAGTGTACAATGAACATTTCGGTTTTACAAGCTTAACGTCGTATTGATATTGACTGAAATGCATGGTACCGATTTACGATGGTACAGTTGCATCGATCAATCTACGTTAAGTTTGCTAAAGCGAAATTTACCCCTTAAGAATTGAAATCAAAGATTATTAAAGGACTGTATACTATAAGTTTAAGGAATGTAAATATTGTGAAAAAGCATAGCGATGAACGAGCGAATAATTCGTTGAACCGACAGATCTACCAATGTAAATACGATGTTATTACACCTTTAGTGATAGTGAGAAATTGTGATTGAGATGCTAGTGACTGTATGTAATGACTTAAGAGTAAGGAACAATAAAACTATTATATTGCATTTGTATATCGTAGAGGCATGTAATTTTATTATCCATACCATTTACTCCTATACCATTATACAACAATAAAAATATTTCACAAATATTTGTATACTTATACCATAAAAAATATATATATTTATCTACATACTAGTTTTATTGTGATTCCTCTGGATACTGTGATTGTACCAATCCTCCAGCCTGCAGCAATAAAATTTATTTGATAAATTAAAGCAGAAATTTGGTAATTAAAGATTAGTTTTTCGAATACATACACTTTGAATCCTTAGCATTTGATCCAAAGTATGGGGCAGTAATGGACGCACACTGTTGATTTCCATGGCAGTTAGATGATCCAACTTTGCATGCAGACCTTCGCTCTTCAAAAATGCATCCACCGATGTACGAAGTTTGGACATTCTTATGTCCCATATATCCTAAAATTGAATAGGCATAGTTCTGCATTCAGATTGTGTTGCAATCAAAATGTTATTAAAAGCTAAATGACTTAATATCATACACTACCTTTATTGCTGTTCTTATTGCATCTGAATCCGGTATATCATCACTTGCAACATTTAATAAAAGTTGTGCTTCATCAATGTAGTGATTGCTGGGCATTTTTGTGAATAATCTAACAAAGATGTATGTTATAAAAAATAAAGTCGTTGTTTAAAAATGAAAAGAAAAGAATGTATGTCCTCTTACTTTGATAACTTTTCATCTTCTTTAGCTTCATTCAAACTATTAACATCCATCCAGTCTTGAGCAAGAATTCGACATTTTTGCTGTTGTTTCAAATTCACTGCCAACCAAATCGGAACTTTGACAGGTAGACCTGCTCGAAAAGGGCCTACTGTTCCTGAGATCAAATATATCATGTCGAAACTGAAATTCGGCACAATGGTAACCAACTGCTTCTCTCCCAGAAATTCTACTTCGCTCGGATCCATGGTTTAGTATTCTCGTTCACTTTTAAACAACTTTTACTTAGAAAACTTTCAACATTTTAAACAGAACTCCGATCATACTCGATGCGCGAATATCACTCATTTTGGCGGGAAACTTGTATACATGTTGTGTTTAAAACGCTACCTGTTGCTGAGTGCAATAACTTCGAAAATAATCAGTGCGCATGCACAGTAGTTATTCATTCTAGCAGTCGAAAGTTTAAATTCATAAAGAAATAGTTAACTACTGCAGTCATTACAAAGACAACATTTTTAAATGCCAAAGCTCGAATTTCTAAAATCTAAGTTTCAGAATTTTCAAGCTTCAATGTTCCAAAACCCTAAACTTCCAAAGTCTTAAAATTCTGTCAGTCGGTCAAAACGTACACTGTGTTAATCTATTACTTAGGTGAAGTATGCACTCGAGATTTCAGATAAAATGTATTGTTGCCAATTTGTTAATACATTTGTTGACTAAGAAATTTAATCGATGCCAGAGGAATGTAGAACTCGAATGTTCCCGCTGTCTACCTTGGCCCACGGAGATGCTTATTCCGCGACATCTTTAGCACGAGTAGCGAAGTTTTTCGCTAAAATACCATGCTAGTAGAATGAAATACACCTGATAGTCTTTATTATTTTCTGTATTCAGCGGTACGTATCAGCTGTTCGGTGACAGTTTGCCAGCCGTAGTAGAGTGTTGAGGTTTATTGTTTGGAAAGCAATATGGCTAGCTGGTGATTAGTAACAGTGCGATACGCAGACAAAGGAACAACGCAGTTCTCATGATATTTGGAGACGCGTTGTGCGTTCGATTCTAGTTTGTTTAAGTAAGAAAGAAGAAGGGAATCAGGATAAAATGTTGGAACTTGAGGTGGTTCCCGAGAGATCCCTCGGCTGCGAACAGTGGGAATTTATTTTAGGCAAGTGACGAAACCACTCGTGTTGTATCGTGGCTATGTCGTATTACGCACAATTTTCTAACGATTAGATTATTCCAATCAGTCGGCAAATCGTTCAATGATCCTTAGAACTTCGATTCACTGCGTCTAGCACGTCTAATTGATATTGCCGTCATACGACTACATCCGTAGTACGCTATTTCGTTCTATTTGTAAACACATCATTTGACAATCGCGCGTAAACAAAGAAAATGGTGCTTGTTATGAATATTTTGTTGCTTATTATGTAATTGTTTACAACTATTTCCTGATTGTTGAAGCTCTTGCTGTTGGGTTACCAATTCATAGGCTGATGATTAATCACAAATGGACAGTGAATTAAAATATTTTATTTATCATATGTAAATTTGATGAAAATGAGTTAATTGTGGTAAAACATTAATTAATATGTATATAGTTTGAAATAATGCGTAGTAGGGAGAAAAAAAAACAATACAGATATGTATATAGTACCAAAGACGTATTTTAATGATCTTATTATTTCAGGAATGCATTTTTCTCAATCTGTGTCAATAATACAATCTCAAGTGGGCATTATACGGGGAGTGCAAGTACTTTATAGTGATAGTGTAAGTACCTGTAAATAGAAATTTGATTATTTCACATTTTGTACTTGCATACAAGATAATATTGAATAATATATTTTACAGAATCCTTTAGATGTAGATTTAGTAATAAACTTACCTCATGATGGCGTTCGGCTTATATTTGATCCTGTGGTGCAAAGGCTCAAAATAATTGAAATTTATAATATGAAACTAGTTAAACTTAAATACTGTGGCTTACCGTTCAATTCGCCAGAAGTTTTGCCATCTATCGAACAGATCGAACATTCGTTTGGAGCAACTCACCCTGGTGTTTATGACAGCGATAAACAAGTATATTTGTGTTTAAATACTGGTTTTCCAGAAATCTGGAAAATAAAATACTGTCTATGAGACTGCATTTTATTTTTAGGTATTTGTATTGAACTTTAGGGGACTATCATTTTACTTCCCTATTGATTCAAAGTTCCAACCTGGATATGCTCATGGATTAGGGTCATTGCAATTTCCAAATGGAACTTCTCCTCTTGTAGCAAAAACAGCTATTTATGTTGGTAACATGGGTGCTGGAATGGGAACTGATGAACATAACTTAAAAACACCACCACCACCACCTCTGCCACTTGTAATTATTTTTTGTTGGTGTTATAGCTTAGGCTGTATATGTATGTATGAATACAAGACTGATGTTATATTATATCTCACTAGGTTTGCTATCATAACAATCTGTACCTGGAAAAGGCAGATGTTATGAGAGATAAAATACGTACCCGGGGTCTTAGATTGCATCTCTTCACGGAAGGTAGCTCTGTAACAAGGGTATTATTGGAACCAAAGAAACGCTGCTTAACAAAAGAGGTTACATTTTATATTTAATTTTATAATATAATATGTATGTTTAGTATAGTCTAAACTTTGTTTACATAAACTGAGTGTATTATGAAGTGAGTAATATAACAAAAAATATTCAAGCTGTTGTTTAAACTTACCTCATTAATTTGTGTAATATATATTAACATTACAGGTGTTATTTGGTGATACATGTGAAGATGTGCTGAGTGCTTTAGGAGCACCATCTCGAGTGTTCTTCAAAGCTGAGGACAAGATGCGCATTCATAGTCCTCACGCGCACAAACGCGATAAAATAAGACGGTCGGATTTCTTTTACAACTATTTTACTTTAGGACTGGTAAGAATTTTTTACCGCCATAAATATTTCACAAATCACGTTTAACAAATTATACCGAAGTCGTTCATACTTTTAGGATGTTTTATTCGATGCCAAAACACAGTGTGTTAAAAAGTTTGTATTACACACAAATTATCCAGGGCATTATAATTTTAATATGTATCATCGTTGCGAGTTCTCTTTAACCTTGCCCCCTGAAAATAATTCCACCGAATCGGGAAAACTCATAGACGTTTCCCCTTCTCCAGTTACGGTATGATATATTTACTTTCATGGTTTTTTATAGTAAAATAATAGAGTCCCGCTATATGGCCTCAGCTGTAGAGACTGCACTATGTGTATAGATGAATTTTATATTTTATTGATATTATATTTCTAATAAGTGTTGATTCTACAGATCACTGCCTACACTAAATGGGATAGAATAAGTGAGCAATTGAAGGCGAGCGCCCGGCCAGTGGTGTTGAATCGTGCATCCTCGACAAACACAACAAATCCATTCGGATGTACATTTTGTTACGGTATACGCGACGCGATCGTCGAGGTCATGGCGAATCAACATATTGCAAGTGTAACTCTATATAGAGCGGTGTGACATCGATAATTTACACGATATGGTGCATTATAAAACGCTCTTTAAAGAGCAAACAAAAGAATGACGTTGGAAAGATGGAAACACACGATCACAAATAGAAAAAAAAAAAACAGAAAAAAAATACAGACAAGTTTGAACGTCACAGTAATTGCATAATAACATCTACTTAAAAAAGACTGTATAATCGAAGGGGAAAACCGAGAGTGATGCGTGTCAAACACTGACGCTGTTTTTTTTCTAACACTAATGTAACACTGAAACTCAAAAAGGATGTTAGATAAAATCATCTTCGATTTAAAGAAGATGCGACGCAGTGCGAAGCTCAGAATCCAAACGATATCATTTTGAATATCACACACTGTTGCTTGTAACGTTTTACAAATTTCCTTGACTATCAGGGAAACAAATAAGTAAAAAGCGTAAAAAAAACATGAAAAAAAGCAAAAAGACGATCAACTAAGGGGTACAAGTGTCTGCAATATTCAATAATATCATATTTAATATACTGTTTTTATCTTTGGTTATAAGTTTTAAATATAGTTAAAGAAAATGACAAAAAAATATGAACGCAGTCTTACGCGAGCGATCAATATTGTAATATCTGAGCTCGATTAACGATAAAATGAAAAGAATAAAAAAAGGAATAGTAGTTCAAGAGGATAATAAGAATTTTGATAGTTGTGGATAAACCTACGATGATTGTAACGGTTAATAATCATAAAATATAATAATGTGCTTAGTGCAAGTAAAGGGTTAAATTTTCGTAAATGAACATTTTGTAACGCGTGTTTAGGGTAATGAAAAAAAAAAGCGGATGACGATGCAAAAACGTTTGAATATAGAGATCACGGATGCATTATGCAACGTAAAAAACGTGGATCATAGTAATTCTAGATAAACTTCACGTTCGTTTCTCAGCAACATAGTAAATGAATTGTATCCTAAAAAAGGGGATTAACAAAACGATAAACGTTTATCGAGTTATAAGAGGTGCGTGTATTAGTTCAGGAGGAGTTCTACTCATGGCCTGTTTTTTACACACCTGTTTATCAAACTCTAATCATTGTGATACGCGAGATTTCGATGCCAGACTATTATTACCAATTACTTTTTTGCATTAACACAAAAAAAAGAAGAAGGTATAACATTTAGTTAATAATTACTTTCTTATATTTTTGTGCTATTAGATGATAATTGCGGGCTGTAGTTTATTATTTAGGACAGACCACTAGGGGATATGATATATCAATGGAGAACTTATTTAGAGGAATTTGTCAGTAAAATGGTTGGATTTATTGATCTCCAGTTTTCAGAGAAATTTAAACCTCTACACTTTTCATTGATGGATTCAAAAATGATAAACTTTCTATTGATACATCTTATTTGCATGGTAATCGTCTTAAATGCAAAACTTCTGCCACTTATAATTATGCTCGCAGAATCTGATTTGTCTTGAATGTTTTAGTCATAAATGATTGAATCTGCCACCATAAATCTGCTGCAAGGCAGGTAATCACAATACCTCACGGAAAGTTCTCTTTTCTTTTTCTCTTTTTACTACAAATTCGAATGAATTTCACTTCGATGTTACATAGCACAATCGCATACCCTATCTTGAACTGTTCCCATTAATTATAGGGTATAAAATACATATGTTTTATGTATTATATAAACTTCGATAGTTAATAATCTACAGCAATTGTAAGAACTATAACGAGTAATAATCGTGAAATGTAAAATAATGAATGACCATTCGATGGAACGTGGAATATAAAGTGATGATTACTTTGATTAACACTTTTTACAGCACAGGTTTATGGTAAACTTTCCTTCTTGTATATTTAACTAGGTACAAATTTGTGGTTCATGTTTTATCGAAGAAGAAAAAAGAACGTAATAAGTCCTCGTCAATTTTTCTATTTTACTTCCTTCCTTGAACGACGAGTTCATGTTCGCTTGAAGGTCGAAATTTCAATGCCAAATGATATTGCATCAAGGCTCGCTCTTGGCGAACAAAAACAAAACGAGATTAAACAAAAGTGTTAATCGACGCATAATTGTACAAAACTTGAGAGACGCAGGTGCTCGTGCAATTGAAACATTGTGCCTGCCTTTATTTCTCAAAATCCTGTTTTGCTGGAATACCTCCTATTTGTCGACGCTACGTCAAAATGTTCTGCGTGGAAATTACTTTTTCAATAAATATATGGAGTATATAATCGTTTGAACGTTTCACTGAAATCCGTTACACGCCATCTTTTTTTTTAATCTACGTAATTGTAACGATGATCAGTGAGTTGTCCAAAAATTGTATACTCTATATAATTATTATAATAATTCTCCCGGAGAAAATCTCTTTCTCTCTATTTAGTTTATACTAAACGAATCATTTTGTAACGAATGGATTATAAAATTATGTAAAACGATTTTGTATAAATCATTCTTCTTCCGAAGCTCTGACTTTAACAGTCCTTATGTACTTTTTTAAACAAATTATTCTTGATTACAATTCAAGTGGTATTCACTTTGAACACCTTTACTTTGAACGCAATAAAATAGCAAATTTTTTTTGTTACAGTTTACCTTTTTTATTTCCTTTTTCGCGCGCTTTTCGGGCCGTCCAATCCGTGCTCGACATTATCCTTCTGCCGCGAGTCCGTGCTTCGAGATACTTTGTGTCTGTTCAACTTGATTTCGTTTAATCTGTCTCCTTGTGTTAATGCAGCGTTGGAGTCGTTCCGATATTTCTGCGATCCTTTTTCTGAATCATCCGATCCTCTGTTCTTGAATTTCCCTGCAGGAAAGAACGATGATATTAATTCAGGTACTAAATTGAATTATTTCTTAAATCTATTGACTTATTCTTACATTTTGTGTTTCTCTGTTGGAAAAGATGTCTATTGCGATCTTATGATGTCACTTTTGCACTAAATTTCACTGTTTTATTAAAAAAATTGTTTAATAAAACGCGACGCGACGCGGACACGTTCGCGGCTTCGTCCGCCACTGCCTGCGCGCGCAGTGCATTTGCGCGCCAAACGTTTGGCGCGTAAAATAGACTATTCAAATCGCTTTATCGATACGGAGTCATTCAACGTGAAATTAGTAAAATAAAAATAGTATTAATTAACAAAAAAATACTTGAAAGTTATGATACTATTCAATACAATTACTAGAATAAAATTCTCACCTAAAATTCTTATAAGTTTCATTTTATTTCTCCTCTCGGTGGACAGATCGTCCCTCTTAACTTCTGAAACAAACATACAAAAAATATTTACCAGGTATAGGTGTTATAAATAAAAATTCTCACCTGTGGATCCCATTTCGGAAGAGCAGGACATTGGTCTCTCCGTTCTGCTCGCAATGGAGTATATTCCATATTTGTGGTGCAGTATAACATCTCCATCGCCATAATACTTCAGTCTGATATAATAAATAGAGATATTTAACAAAATTAGTAAACAAATCATTTGAAAATCATTTAAACATCTTAATTTGAATTACTTATACTGTTGTCCAGTATTCAACAAATTTTGTTCCATATTTTCCAACCATGCTTGTTGGTGTCCGATAACGGAGCCAGGTCTGCAAATTCTGATCCATGCAATGGCCTCTCTGGCAGCCATTTTGTAGTGCTTTATCAAATACGCGGCAATTAGGGACCCTGTTCTTCCTAGTCCAGCCTATGATTGTAATAATTGTAATCGACGTTATAGTATAAGATACAAAATTTGATATTATTACTTTGCAATGAATAGCGATTGGTCCAGTAGTATTCTCGCTGAGCTGGAAGAACTGATTAAGAATCCTTTTCGGTGGAACAGTGCCGTCCGGCATGAACATATCATAGTGCGTTATCCCCGCCTCAGTAAAACTATTTGCAAAATTTTATATCAAATCCCTTGAATTTATTTGTGCACCAAAATTTTTACCTCGACGCGTCATAAGCCTTCTTATTCAACCTAACTACAGCGATGACTCCATTTTTCACGAAATAATCAATGTAACATTCAGGTGGATGATAAGGGGTTCCCGGTTCCGTGCTCGGTCCAACAAAAGCAAGAAACTTTTGCGGCACCAACCAATTCAGATCTCCGTTTCGTATATCCTCGTACTTCTCGTATTCGTTCACGTCAAAGTCATTAAAATTAAAGAACCCGAACGATGCTGCTTTCTGTAGCGCATTCAGGCAATCTGCTCTTAAAGAAAATATGGAAATCAATTTTCGATTCAAAATTCAAAGCAAGGGAAGCTTCACCTAATAAATGGATGTTGTAGGCGGCGGGTCCCATAGAGGCGTCTCGGAACGGTTTTATGGGAACATCACCTCCCATGAAGAGACTGGTGTAAGCTTCCTTAGGGTTTTTGTTTAAGTATAACACGGCATAGGAAGCAATCAAGAAAGCAGCATTTGCTCTTTTGTGATCTCGTTGCGAAGTGAAATGCACGATCTGCTTATGTTGGTTCGAGGGACTTTCGAGTTTCTTGTTAACCTTGCAGCAGTACCTGGTAGCAGAGGTACTTGTAATTTAGTTTAGTTTAAAATTGCATTTAGATAATAACCTGAACAGGCAGGCAATGTTTAAGGGACCAAAGTCGCTGTAAAAGTTGTTGTAAACGAGCTCGTCATCGGTGGTGAAGAAAGTAATATTGGAAGTACTTCTCACGTAATTTCGGCCATTGTTCAACGTTGCAAAGTATAATTTGTCTTTTATGTATTCGCAAACGTGGATGACGTCGGGGTGTTTGTAAACTGTGGTGATATCTGAATATAAAATTGATGAAGAATAGAATTTTAAAGGAAAAGATTTTAAGATTTAAAGGAAAATTAGAAAAAGTCAAGATCTGAACCTTCTGGATTGAAGTTTCTGAGGTCGCAGATATTTCGATTGAATTTAGAGAATTCCAGATCTTTTTGCATAGTGAAACGGTGTCGTGGTCTATTGTTCCTGAAGAAAGATTTGTTTTCCATAAATCTCGTTCCCCTTAAAACGATCATCTAACATTCTTCAAGATCGAGGGAACGTGGAGATCCAGTGGAATTTATTAAAATTTTCAAAATCGTATTTGATCAAACACATGATTTTATCAAACCTATAAACCCAAAACGATATTAACAACAAATAATTATGATAAAACTGGAAAGAATTACATAAGACGAAAAACTATAATCACATACTTGAAGTAATTTTCATTTCAAAACAGAATCAAATTCCTTCAATTTACCATAATTGTCAGACTTGAGATTTCATGTTTGACACATGATGTGTCAAATCTTCACGTTTTTCAGATTTTTCTTTCATGGAAACTTGGGTAGCATGAACGATTAATTTCGTTTAAAATGCATCTTGTTGCTAAAGAAGCTAGCTAACATTTTTAATTAAAATTGTATGTATTGTATAAATTTGTATATATTAAAATTAAATATGTTATGAATGAGCTTATGATAGTGTGTCAAGACTGGGACAAACTGTAGTTCGCTAGAAAACCATCGAGTGAAAAGCTGAGAGGTAATGTTTATTTTCCTATGATTTCACTTTTCTTAGCAGTGCACCGATGCATCTAAAAAATGCAAATGCATTACAATTACAATAGCATATTCATTTCGCTCGCATCAAGTCATTCTGCATAAATAAATATTATGATGCAGTGTTCAAAAGCCATGATAAATCTCACGTTATTAATCAACGCATACATTTATCTTCGTTTCAAAATTAATTCTCAAAATTGAATAAAAACTAAATCAATACCGATATCGAAATAAAAAGCACGCGATAAAAATGGAATGCAAAGGCAGCGATTATTTCGAAGGCGAGTCGAAAAAGAAAGCACCCGAGAAAGATGAAAAGGAAGAGGAGAGAGAGAGAAACGGTGACGAGAGAGTTTTCGAATGCGTCGCACGGATCGCTACGAAATCTCGGATTCTATTAACGGAGAAATTATAACGGATTGACGGACGCAAGGAGTGGATGCACAGAAGGATGGACAGAACCGCCTCCTGTCCCGAGAAAGATTTCTCTTGAATCGTAAATACCGATCAGTTGCTTGTTTTACCGGTTAAGCCTCACGTTGCATGTTAAAGTACTTCCCGGTGCACTCGCAAATTGTACCAGAGGAGGCGCGGTTTATGCAACCTGCTGGACACGAAATACGCCCTATACACCTCCGATTCAAGAAGAAAGTATTGACCAACAAAATTGACCTGGTACCTAAATCTGGTACAGTCGAATACCGATTGATCATGTAATGCTTTAACCTAACGACACCCCCATATTTTTCGTTATTTTTGTGGAAGATATACTTTGTAAGATCACACGTAGTATTATTACGCGTCGAGTTTCCACGCGTTGTATTTCCACGCATAGTATCGTTAACGCGTAGTATCACCACCCTCTGTATTTCCACGCGTGGTATCGGTACGCTCTGTATTTCCACGCGTGGTATCTCCACGCACTGATATCTCCACGCATGGTATCTCCACGCGCCGATATTTCCACGCATGGCATCTCCACGCGCCGATATTTCCACGCATGGAATCTCCACGCGTAGTATATCCACGCACCAATATTTCCACGCATGGTATCTCCACGCACTGATATTTCTACGCATGGTATCTCCACGCGCCGATATTTCCACACATGGTATCTCCACGCACCGATATCTCCACGCATGGTATATCCATGCACCGATATTTCCACGTATGGTATCTCCACGCACCAATATTTCGACGCGTGGTATATCCACGCACCGATATTTCCACGTATGGTGTTTCCACGCACTGATATCTCCATGCATGGTATCTCCACGCACCGATATTTCCACGCATGGTATCTGCACGCGCCAATATTTCCATGCGTGGTATCAGCACGCGCTGTATCGCCGTGCGTGGATTCGTTACGAGTTGAATTTCCACGCGTGGTACCCTAACGCGTTCAATTCCCACACGTGATATCGTCACGAGTAGTATTACTATATTTTGTATCATCACGCGTGGTATTACTACGCGTCGAATTTCCACGCATAGTATCGTTAACGCGTAGTATCACTACTCTCTATATTTCCACGCCTGATACTGTCACGCTCTGTACTTTCACGCGTGATACCTTCAGTCCTATATACTATTTTGCTCCTCCTGAGTACCTGTATACTTTCAAGCTAATATTGAACAGCCCACTTGTGAAGTACTTGGTCCGCCATTATTCATAAACCGTGACAATGATCTTAAATAAATGACATCTTAAATTTTCAAGGAACTATCAAAAAGAATTCAACGAAGAGGATGAAAGGGAATCCCTGACGATGAGTCGTTCATCTAAAAAAGAAATTGCAGAAGGTGTCCGCATAAAATCGATTCGCGACCAACATCCTCTGCGGTCGTCTTCGTGTGAGGCACGAAGATCCGCTCATTGTTTCTCTAATGCATATTGACTATTAACAGCGAGCCGGTGTTCCTTATACGCGAGGATATAACTACGTCACGTCCTTATTCGATGGACGTCGTCTGATCGGCTACGTTCATCTTCGAGCTGTGTCCATATTCGGCTGTCCCACCCACAGGACAATGCCAGCCGCATTCATAAAGCGGCTTACCAGTTTGGTGATCAATCGAATCGAATCGAGGCAATTGATACGCGTCGCGGACGCGAAATCGGAATCTAGTTGTCGGTATTCAACGGCCTTATCCAGTCCGGTAACGTTAGCCGAGATACTTAAAATAGATCCTCTACGATACTCCTTGGAAACGTAATTAGCCGTCTACAGAGTCTCTTCGGATGTTCTTCTCTTTTTCTTTTCTTTTTTGTTTATCTTATTGGAGACTATTGTGGTTTATTTATGTAACGTTGATAGATTACATTGTAGACTTGATTATACTTGGATTATTTTAGGAGTTAACCTATGACACTTCAGAGGTGACTCACACTTGTCATTTGGTTTAATACAATAATTTAAAGTAGAGATTTCAACTAAATATATTATACTCAGATTATATTAGAAATTAACCTATGGTACGCCAGAGGTGACTCGTCATTTAATTTAATACAACAATTTGAAATAGAGATTTCAACTAAATCGGTAGATTGAATAAATATCAGGTGAATTCCATGAACTTGTCTGCATAAGGGTTTCTCCGCTTTGGAATAGGAATGGGAAATCGGTTGTTTTATTGGAATTCTTGTATTCCCTAGAAATTGATTTCTCACTACTCGGTATAGAATTCTCTTCCTCATTTTATTTAGCAAGGAATGTGAATATAATGTATAAATACAATGGTGCTGCAACGTTCTCCGACTTACTATGTATACATTAGATAGGGTTATTTTAGTGCAAGTTTTAGTTCATCAAGTTTGTTGTCTTTTATACATTTTGTTAAATGTTCAACTTCATACATTTTGTTCAATGTTCAGGTACATGCGTCTTGTTGAATCTTCAACTTCATACGTTTTGTCGAATGTCCAGCTTCATAGGTTTTGCTGAATGTCCAACTTCATACATTTTATTGAATGTTCAACTTCACACATTTTATTGTATGCCTAGCTTCATACATTTTGTTGTATGTTCAACTTCATATGGTTTGTTAAATATCCAGCTTCATAGGTTTTGCTGAACATGTAACTTCATACATTTTGTTAAATATCCAGCTTCATACATTTTGTTGAATGTCCAGCTTCATGCATTTTGTTGAATGTTTAACTTCATATGGTTCTTTAAATGTCCAGCTACATATGGTTTATTTAATGTACAGCTTTATAGGTTTTGCTGAATGTCCAACTTCATACATTTTATTGAATGTTCAACTTCATACATTTTATTGTATGTCCAGCTTCATACATTTTATTGAATGTCCAGCTTCATACATTTTATTGAATGTCCAGCTTCATACATTTTGTTGAATGTTCAACTTCATAGGTTTTGTTGTATGTCCAGCTTCAAACATTTTGTTGAACGTTCAACTTCATAGGTTTTGTTGAATCTTCAACTTCACAGATTTCGTTGAACGTTCAACTTCATTGATTTAATCGAACGTAACTACATGTATCGAGCCCATCAAGCAAAGAAATGATGGAGGTCAGACTATCGTCTGATCACTTTTCACCTGGAAAACCTCGAATCGTATGGAGACAGAACGATTGGAATGTTCGTCGCGAAAGCCTGGAGCTCTCCTATTCACCGGCCCGATAATTTGGACGTTGCACAGCGTGTCGTGGCGAAGTAACTGGCACATACACACCGCCACCGAAATACCGGCGTACAAGAGAGCCACCAGAGGAACGTGTACGGGGACACGAAGAGTACGTGTTCTGCGAGTGAGAGGCGATCGAGGGATAAATGCTCGCGAGCGTATGGCTCTGCTTCCGCGTCGACGGGCAATCGCCTTTGACGAACGCTCGCGCGAGCACCGACTCCTTTACCAATACAAATTTCTCTTCTTCGTCCTGTGTACTTACATGTAACCCTATTGCGTATCTTTAGCTCGCTGGACGTACACTGTCGTTCATAAGTACTTTTGGACTTCTATTTTTGTGAGGTTACGCTTCAGGATCTTTGCGATGTCGAACCTTCATATCTCACCCTTGAGGTTTTGGATCTGGACATATTATCTTTGAGTTTCGGGACCTTGGTACTTTCTCTTAGAGATTTTAGTCAAATCGACTTTTTTTTCTGTGGGTTCATATGTTATATTACTGCACATGGTATTCTTATTGGTGGATAATACGTGTTTTATTTCCACGCGTGGTATTGTCATGTGTGGTATCCGTACACGTTTAATTTCAACAAGTAGTATCACTAATGCATAGTAACACCATGCTCTGTAATTCCACGCATGGTATCGGCACGCTCTGTATTTCCACGCGTGGTATCGGCACGTTCTATACTTCCATGCGTGGTATCGGCACGTTCCATACTTCCACGCGTGGTATTGGGACGTTCCATATTTCCACGCGTGGTATTGGGACGTTCCATACTTCCACGCGTGGTATTGGGATGTTCCATACTTCC